TCCAAGCAATATTTAATAATCCCTATTTTCCTTGTAACGGAAAATATAAAGAATTAAAGAAAAAAGTTATTTTATTTTAAAATAAACTTATACTGCTAAGCAAAAGCATTATTTTAAGCTTCCCATTGTTTAAAATAGGGTTTCTGTTGTCAAATTGTTTCTAGGGAAATGCCTCTAGCAGACTGTTTGACATCTACAATTGGAACTCAGTATTTATTAAAAACGGATATTATTATATATCCACTTTATCCCTTAATGCGTTAATTAGAATATATTACGCACGTTGGTCGTATTGTGCAAATAGTATTCACTTGCAATATTGAACTAGTTGCCAAATGATGCAACCCAAATTAACTCTAAAGCAACTCGACAGGGTTTATGAATAGAAGACTAATCAGCCAAGTTCAATATTGATTTTGCTACATATACACACAGGGACACACACACATCTAGATAATGTTAGAGACAAATTTGTCAAACAAAAACTAATTACATAATGGGTAATTTGATAAGGAGAAAATGTTCCTCTAAAATTTAACAGTTTAATAAAATGATTTATTTTTAATTCTACAAATTTTTAATATAACGCTTATTGAATGCAATATTCCCATTCCCCAACAGATTTTTTGTTTAAGACAGTCCTAACGATTTAAAAAGACTTTTTAAAACAGACATTTAAAATAGTTTTAATAATATATTTTAAATAGTCTCAAGACATTTTTGTCAGTTTTAACAAGTAACTATTTTAAGACAATTTTAACAAAAGTTATAAGATGATAAAACATTTTTAGTTGTATTAATGAGTAAAAAAATCTTTAGTACAATACTAATGGATGTATGGAGAAACTTCATCATCGCAAACGCTTTTTGCTTCACCCCTTTCATATTGGTTTGTACTATCTGTAGTCTTCAAGAGTCAATTAAAGCTTAAAGCTTGCCACAAATTGTATATTTAAAGAACCAAACCGAAAATCAATTAAATTCTATTCAATTCAATGTTTAGTTTTATTTTATTTTTTTCTGTAAAAAAGGATATATTTTTTAAATTAAAATATTAAGTTGTTGATTGCCTCTTTCATTAAAATGTATATATTTTCCATAAAAAATCAGTTTTTCCCAATTTTTTAAAGGCCTGGAAAAAGAACAAAAAATTCGACTCTTTATAACCCTAATTCTGAACAAAGTGAAAGCTGCCTTACCAATGTTAAACCAAATAAAATCTTTAAAATTTGAAACAAGCTAAATTTAATTGACTATTTATTTAAAATTAAATAAACTACATGTTACCAATCTAAATAGATTAGGTACTTACATTAATATTTTAAAAAGTGTAATCAAGCACCCATCTATGGATAATCAAGCATCTATGGAGGGTGCTATAGTATGTTTTAGATAAAAACTAAGCATTGATTAGATAGAAGTTATTTTTGTCCAATTAAAACGCTTAAAATTGTTGTTAAATTTACGCAGGCCGAAAGTTGAAGACCTCTCTGGCACATACACATATTGATATAACGTTGGTTGCATATTTTGTTCTGTGGGTTTCATCAACGCATCAGAAAAAGGTGGTAGGAACAAACTTATATTAACACGTTAAACGCCACGGCGTTATTGGTGATTTTGTTTACTGGGCCAAGTTGATATTTTACTTGTATCATTTTAAAAAATAAAATCGTCAAAATACAGATTAAAAAATAAATAATTAAAAAACTCTTGTATCTTCGTCAGCCGTCAGGGCCAAGCGGTCCTATGCATGCTTTAAAATACCTTATACGAGCGGTCCGCTGGCCAGAAAATCATGTTAAACTGTTAAACAAAAAATTGACAGGCGGTCCCTAGGGACCGCCGTGGCCTGGATGGAAAAACTATTAGCGGTCCCCTGGGACCGCCGTGGCCGTTAACGTGTTAAAATAATTATAAACTAATCACAAACAATTCATACTAAATAATATTAGTACTATCCCTAACCCGCTCAAGCCATTCAGTTGGCTTCTGGGACTTCTTAGGAAGTGGTGAAAGGTGGAACTAAAAGAGCACTTTTGTATATAAACTATATTTAAAATTCCCGCGTTCTCCTGTGTAAACCTGTCTCGCTTTGCAGCGACATCTACTTGAATGAAAATGAGCGCCGCTAGTGGTAAAAAAAGAAAACGTAATTTGTGCAAATTCCCCCTATTGAGCTCGAACTCCTTGTGTAGGCTACACGCACCAATTGTGGAATAAATTTTAGACATTTAATTTTTTTTTATTGGTTTAACGTAAATCAGGTAGCCTTTGACTTTGACACTAATTTGGACGGGGCTACGAACGCGTTTGCAAACATGTTCGCGAATCCTGACCGTTCGGCGAACGGTTCGCCGCGTTCCCATCACTCCTAGACAAAACTAGGCCATCACTTGTCGGTTTTTCCTTCGACATCAAAGGAAATGCTCGCGAATGCGTTCGCAGGTTTGGACGAGTTCTGTTCTGTGAGTCAAACAGTGTCGTTCTCATTTAATTATGCACACATGTGTTTGTCTGTCTCCTCCTTTAAGTGTGTGTTTGTTTATTTATATATAATTTAAATTCAACACAAGTAAATGGAGTGGACAGAAGAAAAATACCTGGATCTAATTGATATTTATCAAAAAAAAAGAGTTATTGTGGAAACCAAAACACAACCAATATTTTAATAAAATTAAAAAACAAGATGCTTGTGAGGAGATTGCGCAAAATTTAAATACTTTAACTGAGATTTACTACGAGCAATTATGGGAACAGCACGAACGCTCCGTTTGTTGTTCGGATCGTCGAAATCAAAAAAGGCCATTTGTTGTTCGGTTTGCCATTCGGTTCGTTGTTCGGCTTGTTGTTCGGTTCAATGCTCAAGTCTATACGAGGCTTAAGCATGAACTAAAAATTTAAAACGTATTAGAAAATGACCCTACACCACCAAGTGGTAAAAGGGAATTGATTATATATATAGAAAATGATACCAACGTACAAATATCTTCTATTTACAATCCAGTTAATATTTGTACCATCGATTTTTTAATTCAAAATACTATTTATTAACTAACTTTAAGCGATTTAAAATTTCAGACGTATAGTGTTACCATAATATGGTATTATTTCGAATAATTTAGTGAGGGCAATCAAGGATTTAGCCTAATGTGATAGATTATGAAGATGGCTGCCCGGCACTGATGAGGTCCAAAGACCAAAACAGGCTGTTTGTTGGTGCCTGTTTGTGGAGGCACATTAAAGGTAAAAGGCCAGTTCTTAGTTTTATAAGTTTTAATGCCATTTTTTAAATTCAAACAATCCTAGTTACATTTTTATCTGATAAGAATTTTAATAAATAAAATGTACATCTTAAATGCTTTACTTTGTGTTTATTTTGGGAACTATATACCAAAATAAGAATAAGCCAGAATATTTGGGGATGGTTATCTTTTTTATTTAAATAGTGATATATTTAAAAGTGATATCAACAAAAAATCTTAATAGGCCTGAATAGAAATAGATATAAAATAAGAATTTTAAAACAATTTGCTTAAAGCCTTAGGTATGTTAAAAGGGCTAAAAGCTTTCTCAAATTGAATAAAACTCTCATTTTATATTTACCAAGTTGTCTTCTTTTTTAAGCACATTAACAACCAAGGGTTTTTCTAATATATGTTCTTAGTTACTAATCTTTACTTACTACATGGACAAAGAAAAAAATCTACAGAATTTATTTTCTTGCTTAAGTAAATATTAGTAACTAAGTATATCAATTAAAAACTGCCCAAATTTAATTGATAATGTGCTTAAAAACGTTAACAATTTTTATCTATAACCTTTTGTTGCATATTGTTTAATAATAATATATTGCCCTTATCAAAATTGATTTACTTATAGTGTATCAAAAAAATGGTCACATGATAAAGAACCTTATTTTGAAAAATTACTTAACAAATTTTTAAAGGCCGTATTACAGCCGGCAATTCTTCTTGCAACAATTTTTCTTACCAAGTTTTCACTCAGCAATGGCAAGACAACTTGCTGTTTATTACCGTGCTACCAATTAAAGAAAAATATAAGATTTTGTAAGGTTATGTTAACATTATGTTTATTTGTTATATAGTAGATATTTAAAAATTAATGAGTAAAATGGATACTAGAAAAAAGTTGCTGTTATTTGTATTTTGCTCACTGCCGCTGCTCTCAGAGAGACCCCTGAAAGAAGACAAAGAAGGTGGTAGGTGAGGCCTTGGTTAGATAGGAGAAAAGGAAATATAAATTTAGCGAAAGAATCCACTGATGTAGAAAAATATAGGAATTATTTAAGAATGGATAACAATAACATTTCAAAACTTTTATCCAAAATTGATAATAAAATAACTCAAACAGCGTCTCTAGGGAATTTGAAGTAGGGTTATATTCTGTGGTTGGCAACTTAAAAGTTACCAAATTGCACCCTACAATAAAAATCCATCCGGACCGATTTTCGGCAATTTCAAGATATTCATCAAAATGAATCTACCGTGCATTCCTACGGAAATTTTAATTGCAATTTTCGAAAGAATTCAATTCTTAGAATTGCCAACTGTAAAACGGCCTTAATATAATTTTTCTTATTTTTTATATTTAAAATAACTCTTAAAATCATCACTCCATTTTAATTTAAGCTGCATAATAATTTAATTACTTTTTCGTTTGGATTTAATTTGGTTTAATTTTTACAGAAAAATTATGGTTTTATACTTTGTTTAACTGTAATCAGAAGTATTTAAATTTTTAATATGTTAATTGCAATATTTCATATTTTTATTATTATAACAATATGTACAATTTAATGATACTTTTATTTTAATTATTTTATTTTTATAACTTTTCAGGTAAAAATGTAACTACAAGTGTCAGATGGCCGTTAGACACATGCGCAATGCCAAAATCGCGTGGCGCATGTCGCCGGCGTCCATTTGACAGTTTTTACCACCTATCGAGCGTGTTTGCGTGTCATCGTTGTATCGTACCTGTACCTTCGGGATACGAGCCCGGACCCATGAAGTATTCCTTGTTAACGCAGTTCCTCAGGCACTCGGGTATCCGGCCCATGATGGCGCGTCGTATCTCGCTTGCGGCCATCTCGCGCAGCTCCGTCGCCGATGCGTCGCTGTAGAAAGCTGCGTGAGGGGTGCACAGCAGATTCGGCGCGTCCTTCAGCGGGCCGGTGAACACGTTAAACGGCTCGTTTTCGTGCACGTCCAGTGCCGAGGCCCTGATGCGCCCTTGTTTCAGCGCTTGCGCCAATGCGTCGTCGTCCACTAAGCCGCCTCGAGCTAAAAAACAAAAAATAACTTGTCAACTCAAAGTGCTCCATCGATTTAAGCTTTAAATGATAATTTGAAGTGTCTCATTAACAATGATAATAGTTTAAATTAGTGATCGACCAAAGTTTCGACTTAGTGTTAAATGAATATAGCGAAAAAAATCAAAGGAAAAAAATGGAGTTAAAGACAATTTTATGAAGATTGAAAAGACTCTAGTTTTCTGCGGGATTATTGAAGAAAATAGTAAATAAATACGAACGAATGCTCGTTTCACTAACTTATACTAAAACCATCACTGTCTCCTTAAGTTTTTGTTTATTTTTAACTTTATTATATAAAAACATCAGTTAACAATTCTATAATTAATTTTTCAATTTAAGTTTCCTTAAGCATGACTTCATTATATTAAAATATCAGTTAACAATTCCTTAAGCATGTTTTTTTTTTCCAATATAACCTTTCATAATTAAGAAATGATTTTTTAAATTCAAAAGCTATAATAAAATAGAAATTAAATATTAAATTTTACCAAAAGAAATAAAATATTTAATTTCATATCATAAGCATTTTAATTTCTTTTATTTGATCTAAATAAAATTTTTCTTAATTTTACTTTTTGTGACAAAAATAACTAAAAGGACCTTTTAAAAATAAAAGTTAAAATTGTTTTAATTAATAAGTTGATTTAAAGATTTAATTTTTTGACACAAACCGCCACAAAATACCAATATGCCAATCATGTCAACTTCAGTGCCCTTATTTGCTTTGTTTCCATAACAACCATTATTAGATGTGGAATATTTTAGCTTATGAGGTACACAATGTTGTCAAGTTTATTACTTACTTAAATGCTTAATAATAATACTACTATTTAATACCTTTAATTTTTATTTAATCAAATGTCAAGTTTAAAATAATTGATTAATAAGCGTTAATACGTTATTCCCTCTTATTTTAAATTGTTTAGTTAAATAACTTTATTAATATTATAAATAACTAAACAATTTAAAAATAAGAGGGACTACACTGATCAGCATATACAGTAAGTTTAAAGATAGGGTTACAAAGATAACAACAAAATTTTACATTTATCATAATCTCATTCTTGAAATTTTGTTGATAAAAATCGTTTTTGTTCATGTAATTTCCTTGAGAATTCTCCACAGACGTAATTAATTTTTACTTATGAAAAAGATAAAAACTGTATTTTTGGCCATAAATTAAAAAGTGTCCATGAAATCGATTTTTTTTTAACAAAAACTAAAAAAAAATTATTTTTATCAAAAAAATTTCAGTCTCACGTTTAAAAAAAATTAAGATTGAAGATTAAGCATAAACAATGAAAATGATGTGTCGCATATTCTAACGGTTTAAAATCAAGCAAAAACTTTCAAGAATAAAATATAAAATATTTGTTTCCCTCTTTGTTACCCAATCCGTGGACATACTATATAGAAAGTGGGACAGTTACAATTTTTAGGATAACTTTTTATTTAAAATTAATGGCCCTTACATGCTTTATAACTGTATTTACACCATTAAAAAATAATTTTCTAAAATATAGGTAATTTCGCAATTAAAAAAATAATTTTCCATGTTGATAAAGTCTTAATTAGATAACCAATTATATCAGCCATAAGTATACAGCTTATAATTACATATATATTATAGTTTCAATACACTTTATATATTTGGTATTTATTCTATAAAAAAATTAACGCAGAAATTGCCACGCCTTTATATTATATTTATATCGGATCAAGTATCAAAGAAAGTAGTAATTCACTGTATACATGAAGCCATAAAAATACATTGTAACCGAACAAACAATCGTAAAATTTCTAAACGATCATGTAGGCCAAACAAATAAATAAATTCTGACATTTGACTTTCCATCGAAATTGCCGCTTATCAGTCTTTTGCTGCTGCTCTTTGATTCCGCTCAAATCTCCACTAGTGTACCCATTATGATCGGCACACACCGAAAACGTTTTAAACGGAGCGAACAAACTATTGTAGGTACGAGATTAAGCCCTGTGATTTTGCTTATCTTGTCGTTTACGCCCGATTTGTTATTCCTTAATGCTTCGTTTTTTCGTGTCTAACACTTTCACTAACTTAATTAATGCTTTTTTCTCTAGCGAGTAGAGATGAGCGATACCGAGATTTTTCAATCACACTGATATTCGTTACTGTGATTTTTTTTTATATCAGTGATTTTTAAACGTGACGTGATCACAGGTTTTAAACTGATATTGATGAAATCGTATTATTCGTCGTTACATTGTGTTCGTTCAATTTAACAGTGTTAAATATAAAATTTTTTGTAAGTATGTATTTTTATTTCAACACAAAAATAAAATTATTTTTAATAAAAACAGCTTTATTTGTTATATTTTGTTGCTGATGTTTACGGAAAAATAAAAGTTATTGTAAGCAATTTTTATTGTATAAAATAAAAAAAAATAAACCCTTTAAGTCTGATTTATAAATTTCCTTCCTTTCTTTCTTTCTCCTGACTGTGAAACATAAACAAAACGATAAATAAATAGCAATAGCAATTCACGGTTTTATCGTTATTTGATGCTTTTTAATCAGTGAAAAACAGATTGTGATAAATAGCAACTCACGGATTTATGGTTATTTAGGTAATACTTTTTAATATCAGTGAAAAGTGCAGTGAAAAATCACAGATCATGCTAATTAACAGATGTAAGTAGCAGTTGTTATTCGTGATTTTTAACTATCAGTGAAAAAATCATAGTTCCTGAAATATCGGTCATCTCTACTAGGAGATAAGGCGGGGTTGTTTTGTTTTTCGTTAGCGCGGCGTAAACTCCGCGTTATCAAAATTTTTTGTTTGTTTTTTTAATGATATAAAAGGCAAATTACTTGACTCCATGTAAATAAACTTTTATAATTAATACAGATAAGTTATTTTGAATAATAAATTGTAAACAAATGTAAAAATGTATGAAAGAAAAATTACAAAAAACATATTAATTGAATTAAATATAAAATTTGCTTTACAAATATATTTCATGCAAAAGCTCAGTATTTTCTACACCTACTTTAGGGTATCCCAAGTTGGTTTGTTTACTTGAGTATCATCTCAATTATTTGTTTACTGTCTAAAAACAATTTTAATGACATAAGAAAAAATTCATAACTCGCTAATAAATAGACACGCAACAATGTAAAAGACATATTGTTGTAGGAAAATCTACAAAAAAAGGTCTTTTATATTTTTTTCTTAAAACCATCTATTGAAATGATATCGGTATATCGATATTTTTTAGTGGCTTTTTTACTTGGATATCATTGAAAACAAAATTTTAAACTTTGACCTCTGATATTTTACACTCTACAAAAAAGGTCTTTTAAGTTTTTTTTTTTCGTAAAACCATTCATTTAAATAATATCGAAGGGATTGCATATCTATTAATTGGCAAGTATTTTTCTCAATCAAATGACATGAACAAAAACTGACAAAAAATGATTTTTAGACTGTTAACAAATAATTTAGATGCGATCCAAGTAAAAAAACAACTTGGGAAATAACAGACAATCTACATATTTAGGTACATATTTTTAAATACAGTTTTTTTTCTAAAAATTGTAAAATTTAATATTTATAAGTCAAATGAGAAATGTCTACCCATACAAAGACCTTTGTTTTTTAAAGCATGTTTTTTAGTTTATTTTTATACATTACATATCATATAAATTAAGGTAAACCTTTTTTAATTAATAAAATTTTACTTCACTTCTCTTTTAAATAAAAAAAACACATTTTCAGATTTTTTCACAAACAATTTGATATTTTAATATTATTTGATCAGAGGCATGCCTATACAGAGGGTAATTAAAATGTTTGGCCAAAAAATATGCCCAAAAATGCTTACTTAAAAAGTTAGAGCAATTTAAAAATTACGATTAGGGTAAAAATTAGTAAAATTTTTATCGAATTACGGAAAGATGTCTCTAAAAAACACAGGTGCAAGTACTTATGCACGCGCGTTAGAACATTTTTTTTATCCCAGTTTAAAAATTACTAAAAATGGGAAGAGACGGAAGAAACGGATTTAAAAGTGTTTTGCTAACATAGCAATGGAAGTAAACATATTTTTTATACAATGCAACGTATTATGACTTCTACATTCTGTTGACAAAAAACTGTTGTTATGACACTTAATAAATATAGTGTAAAAGTAAACTTTCAATGATGTGTGTAAGGAAAAACAATAAAGTGATTGAAATTTTTGTAGATTTGTGGATTTTTCTAATTTTTAGGTAATTTTGAAAATGTTGACATTTTTATAATTTTTAAGATTTTGGAAATTTAGAAAACTTTGTGAATTTAGAAAATGTTAAAAATGATAAAAATTTGGACATTTTGATAACTTTGAAAATTTTAAAATCTTTGGGAATTTTAAAATTTTGAAAGTTTTTGTTAAATTAATAAACAAATTCATGATATAGACAATGTATATTGTAGTTTGTATGCTTTTCGGGATCAATTATAGGAACTTTTTTAGTAGTTTTGTAAAACATTTTTGTCGGGTGATGTTAAATGGAAGTTATGTACTAGTCTTATCCTAAGTCCTTGTAATTATTGTAGTAGTGTTTATTTTACATTTGCAACGAAAGCAACTCAGTGTTATATTCAAAAACTCCAAAACTCCTGTCTTCGATATGCATATAACATTGACCATAGGGATCACGTCAGTGAACACTATGTTAGACTTAAGATACTTAAATGTGACCACTTATTTTATAGCCAGTATGTTTTACTTGTTTACTCTATTTGTAAAACAAATGTGCCCTTATACTTGTCTAGTCTTTTAATTCAGAGGAGCCAGTGTCATAATGTTAATGTTCGTAATAAATCCTTATTAAGTGTACCTATTCATAAAACTACTAAATTTAAAAGTAGTTTTGAATACATGGCCACGTCAATATTTAATATTTATTTTAATCTATTTAATCAATGTAATTCAGCTATATCTCTTAAGCATAAGCTTAAAACTCACTTGTTAAATGTGCAATGTCTAAGTTTAAATTTGTAAAATTTAGTCTTAAGCTGGGTTGAAGTGTAAGAACAGTGAAAACTGAACTTCCACCGTTTGTATTTATGTATGTCACTTTATACAATAAAGATTTTTATTATTATTATTATTATGTTAGGGAAGCAATCATTTCAGTTTTTGGGAAAGGTTTCCTTTATTTCATATAGGTACTTAATATTATGGAAAGTGTATTTTGTGTTGTTTAAGTACCTGTGTTGACCAGAAAGGCGCCGGGCCTCATCTGTTTGATAGTGAACTCGTTGATCAGATGGTGGTTGTGCTCGTTGAGCGTGCAGTGGAGCGACACGCAGTCCGACTGGAAGAGCAGGTCCTGCAGCGTGTAGACGCGGTTCAGTCCGAGCGATTTTTCGATGCCGTCCGGCAGATACGGGTCGTAGAATATCACGTTGAAGCCGAACGCTTTCGCTCGCAGCGCCACCGCCGAGCCGATGCGACCCAAGCCGACGATGCCCAACGTGTCCCCGCGTATCCTGGCGCACCCTTGCGCCGCTTCTCGCACCTAAACAAACAACAAAACAATGTAAATGTAGACCAATCAAAGATTAATAAAAATGTACATTTAAGAATAGGGTTGAGTTAAGAGTACAATAATATAAAAAAAATAGTATAACAAATTAGGTATTTAACTCGAAACCAAAATGTCAATAAAAACTTGTATAGAAAACCTTTTATAACGTCATGATTAGCGTAACGGGCGCGACCTTAGAAAATCGGCAAATGCGACCAGGTTGGCTTCTAAAGTTGATAGTGTAAAATTTTGGATGAAAGCATATAATAATAATTTTGTATAAAACTTGAATAGGTTGTAACCTTAAACAAGCACGTATTTTAAATGCACAAATATTGTATACCGTAAACACGGGTGGCTTTAGCTCACTTTCAAACTTAATCTTAACATTTTTGTAGTTTTAACAATCATAAACATTAAATATTGTATACCAAAATTTGAGTCTTAAGTTGCTCCTTCATAATAACTATGTTATAATCTTACATAGGGCTGAGTTTCAAAAATAAAAATTAAAAACTGGGTGTGCAAAGTTACCCCCTGGTTGCGGGTTACTTTGTCTCACAGTGTATTTTCCGTATAAAATTAACTCAATATTTTATTTTATTTTTATTAGACATATGTTAGCAGCGACATATAGCAATTGCAAGGGATTACCGATAAAAACAATAAAAAATCGACCTGTAGGATCATCATTCCAAAGAATTGCGCATAATATAGAAATTAAAACGCGTGTATTTTTAAGAGTTTTGCAATATATACAACTTTAAAGTGTAATAAATCCCATTTATTTTTTTAAATATTGATTTTCCTGTAATATAAACTCAATAGAATCGCTCAATTGACAGGTTTAGACCAACAAATTATAAATGTTAATTTTATCGAGCGCGAAAAATTTTTTCATAAAAGGGCTAAAGTCACCCGCGGGGTGGAAAGTCACCCATGTTTACGGTACTTTATTTTCTAAAATTTTATTAAAATGTAACGGGTGCGACATTTGAACATTTTATCGAGTATTGAACCTCTTCCGTGTTTATTCTTAATGTTAGCTTCTTAACGTCACAATGTATGAATATTTTAAGGTTATAAATTACGTCGCAATTAAACTATTTGACTTCGAATATAGTTGTTATTTTGTTAAATAACACATCTGATTTTTTGTCAAGGTGGGGTAAGGTTTCGTGGAAATACCCCAAATTCAAGTTAAAAATACTTAAGGGAAGAAGTATTCTGCTACACATCCAAAACGCTTACTATACTCGTTTTTTTCTGAAAACAGCGGTTTTCTTGGTGCCATATGCATTTTGGCGTATAAGTGTTAATGTATTAAACGCTTTAAAAAATCAGTTTAATGCAGCAATGCTTAACATTGTCCAGTAAACAATGTATATTTAGGTATTAGATTGTCTACTTATTTATTGTTAATATTAGCCTTCTGGGAAAATACTTATTTTATATAGGTACTCTTTATAGCCACAACACACGTTTACAAGAGTTTACTTGTCAAAGTTAAAAGCATACTTAAGAAATGATTTCCATCTTGAAATATTTACAACCTTTAGACAGTATGTACATCTAAAATAAATTAAATATAATTACCATAAGAACATGGGCGCCGGAAAAAAATAATCCAGGGAAGGCAAAACAAATTCCCTACTAAAAAAACCCTGATCGAAACTTGATCAGATGCGATCATGCTTCGATCAGGTTTTGAGATTCTTAATCAGATCCGATCATACTTCGATTAGGTTTTGCAATTCTCGAATCTTATTGCTCACAGCTTAAAATTACAAGTCCACTAGTAAATTTACTGCTCATATCGTAGTAATTTCGAGAGCTTTTGGTCAACTTACTAGTAGTAATTTCGCTGCACTTTACTAGTCGTTTACAAATTTACTACCCCGCGTAAAGAATCACAGGCAATATAGTGAAATTACTACACTGCCCGTCAAAAATAACGCATAGGTAATAAGTAAAAAAATTTTAACTCTAAAACGCCTTTACCAATCTTTATGAAATGTTCTATAAAAATACTTACCAATCTTTATAAAATTTTGTATAAAAATACTTTAACTTATATCTCAGATTACGTGTTTTTAGAGAAAATATTTTTAAATAATTTAATAATAAAAAATCGTTCGAAAAATAACTTTTAGGAATTTTTTTTAACTAAATAAAAAATATGCTGTTAAAGACCGTATTTTTGTTAGTATACCCTGACAAATCAAACGAACAGTAACGAAGATACATCGCTTCAAAGTCGGTAAAAATAACCCCTTTTTGATTATTTTGCTGAAAAGTGGTCATTTTTGACAACTTTGAAGCGCTGTATTTTTGTTACTATTTATTTGATTTGTACAAAATTTACATACTAACAAAAATACGGTCTTTCAGAGCATATTTTTTATTTACTTAAAAAAAATTTCCCTATAAAAGTTTTTTTTCGAGCGTTTTTTTATTATTAAATAAAAGGGCTTTAAGGATATTTTCTCGAAAAACCCTTGAACACGAAAACTGAGATATAAGTTAAAGTATTTTAATACAAAATTTTTAGACTTGGATTTTTTTAACTTGTTATGCGTTAATTTTGACGCGCAGTGTATCAAGATAATAAAACTAAAGTCGGGCATGTGCTGCGTCTTGTTTCTTAAAAAACAACGTTCTAAATTAAAGATTTTCATCACTTTTGATATTTTGAAGAGGTACCTAAGTATTTAAAAGTAATAATGTTAATTGCACCAATCTTATAAAAGATTATTTGAATCTCGATGCGATGAAAAAGTGAGGTTGTAACCTCGAGTAATCAGAAAACAATTTTTAGTACAAATGTTGACTTTAAAGCCAACACTTAGGTATACTATAAAACGCAATTTCATGTTTATTGTAATGGAAAATTTATCCATATTTATACCCTTCTTAATTTAATTAGCCCGTTTTTTGCCATTCTGTGCGTAGTAAATTAACAGAGGTGGTTTTACTGTGTATGCTACAATTGTAATACGATAATGTATAAAACAGTGGTGGTTAGTTCAGTTAACCGCCTTAATACACCTTAAAACGAATACAATTGTTCCTATTACTAACATGACATGTGTTATTAATCATTACGAAATTTCAATCCAGTAAATCGAGATCCCAATCAAATATGATCTAGTCCACTCGATCAGATTGTTCAGTGGGTCCCAGAGACTTAGGTGAATTTATGTAGCAATTTAAAATCATTTATACCTTCACAAAAAACAAGGTAGGTATAGTAAAAACATTTGCTAAAGCTTTTTTAGATAAAAATTATTTGTTGCCGTGGGTCACGGTTAATGTCGACGTGCGCGGCGTGACACCGGCACTTGCAGAAAATATGAAAATTAATCCATTGATAGTTGGAAAGTGTATGCTAGGCGCGGTTGCAATATCCGGCGAAACGGTGCTAATTCAATTTCCATTTTTACTTATTTGCTTTTCTGCCATTCGCCTGCTCCATGCGCTGCATATAACAGCTTTATGCAGTTTTCCATGCATTTTATCTCCCTATTAATGCGATTCATAAATGCGAACAGTTTTTATAGTTATTTATGTCGTAATCATCAACAGACTTTCTCATTGTATCTTAACTGAATATTCTATACCCATGCATAGAAAATGCATTTTAACCATATTTTTGACAATGTTACAATTTTTACAACGAATAAAAGTTTATAAAACATAACATTTTCTTTTATACAATAGATAAGTACATGTAACATGGTACTAGCAATATTACTTTTAGATATCTTAAACAATTTTGTAATTTGTTTGTAAAGTTCTACTAATTTTAAATCCGCTTTATTAATTTTAATTATTGTAAGACAAATTAGGGTTTTTAATTTTCTATGCTGGAAAATTATTAAACGTTATAAATAATAACCAACTTAATAAAAGTTTATGAAACATAACATTTTCTTTTATACAATACATAAGTACATGTAACATGGTACTAGCAATATTACTTTTAGATATCTTAAACAATTTTGTAATTTGTTTGTAAAGTTCTACTAATTTTAAATCCGCTTTATTAATTTTAATTATTGTAAGACAAATTAGGGTTTTTAATTTTCTATGCTGGAAAATTATTAAACGTTATAAATAATAACCAACTTAATTTCTGACTAACCATTATAATTACCATATAAGAACAATAACGTAGGCATAATAAATTCTATTTTCAGTTTTAGTAGTTGACTTTCACTTTGGCGGCCTCAACATTCAACGCGCATACATAATAACGAATGCATTTTATGATAAAACTCGAGTTTAAGTAAAATAAAAAAGTTTCTTTTGCAGAGAGCGCGGTGACAAATCTAAAACGAGGCCGCATGCATACGAATAACCGTTCGTAACAAAACGAAACGAAACCGCACTGACCTACGCCATACGATGACGGGTTTTACGCCAGTGCAGCAACAGATAGACTTACTAAGTACAACGACTTATCTGTAAAAGTTTTTTTTAATAAATATTTTTTTTATTTTCCATTCCCAATTTAAATCTGACCGAATATGATAAACTATAATAATTCCTAAGTTTCAGTGAAACTATTTCACATACAGTGTGACCCATTTGTTTGCGACTCACCCCTGTAAAATATTTATTTATTGTGCGATTTTAACCGGATTTGTTTTAAAGTGTAGATCTTGATGAACTGTATTTTGAACCAAAAGACGCCATATTAGTACAAAATACAAGGGGTACTATGTCAGTTTTTAACAGTAAATTTTTAAGAATTCATATTAGCGATTTTTTTAAACAAAATCTAAGCACGGCACTGTATTCACCACCCCTCAAAATGACCATATACTAAATTTTATTGAAAAATTTTAAGAAAAAAATACACAATAATAACTACAAAAATTTATTTTGTCAAGTTATCCATGAAAAAAACATTGACATAAAATTGAACTTATAGTATTAGTACCATGTTATCGCTAATTTGAATTCTTAAAAATTTACTCTTAAAAACTGACATAGTAGGCCTGGTATTTTGTAAAAATATGGCGTTTTTTGCTTTAAAAATACAGTTTATCAAGATCTACACTTTAAAACAAATCCGGTTAAAATCGCGCAAATAACTGGGTCACACTGTATATAAAAAGTACATACTCAGTAAATTAAAAAGATATAGGTATATTATTTTTTATTTTAAAAATATTTGGCCATGTCAATAATTTTGGAAATAAAACGTAAAATTTAAAGAAATTAATAACCCAACTATTATATTTAAAACACTGGCACATATTTTGCTATTAAATATGTACCTATGTAAAAATAGAAATAAATATCTCAACACAGGTATATAAATACAAAGGTACCTAGCTGGTAGTTAAAAAAAATCGATTACAAATGATTTAATTTAAATGCAATGTCCGGAAAAAGGCAAATTTTAATAAGTTTATATCAATGTTTCTCTATTACAGATGTTCCAATAAAGAAAAGTCAAATAACTTAATTATAAAGAATTTAAAGTTTTGGTTTTTGAAAAACAAACTTTCATAGAATACATCAACCAGTCACGCCAAGCTCACCTCTCTCATTTGGTTTTTTTCCATAACAAAAATTGAGTTTTCCGGCCGAAAAAAATAGAAATTTTCGATCAAATGAAAATCCCTTCGTTCACGAAGGGGCTATTGTAATTAGGAAGGCAACGGCCCTTTTAAAAAATACGATTCCGAGATAAAGTTTTAAGTTCACTCAATTTGTATTTAAATGTTCGTGAGGTAGCGCGCTATAAATTGGTAAACCAGTTATAGTGCTCCGATCTTGATGAAATTTTAAGTAAATATTCTTAAAAGTATATGTTGACCCAGCACAAATGTATGTAACCCCTTACCTATATTAATTTCTGTTACATGACTTAAAATGTTGACTAAATTTATCATTAGATTAAACCGTGAAAAGATGAAGGGTAAGAATAATGGTTGTGATTTTAACAATTTGCATTGCCTTTAGCATTTAATCATATGACACAATTATATACACATTTTTGTGCGTATTTTATAAGTTTTTTTTAAATTTAACAATTAAATTTAGGATTTATTTGTATAAATAAATGCCTTTAGTCCAGGAAACAAAGATTGTAGAAGGAAAACTCGATGGTAGTCGGGTTTTATTTTTTTTATGTAGAGTCGTGGGTGCTGATAATGAATCAAGAATATTCCCTAAAAATTTATTTTCGCGTCCCCCTAATTTCATACCCCGAAAGGGGAGTTTTTTTGCTTTTTGGCTCATAACTCGCTAACCGTGCATTTTTTCAGAATTTGACCTCATATAGGTTCTTTTGATTATGTAGGCACACGTTAAACCCCATTGCGCACCTATATGATGTGCCCTTTTGCTATGCGCAGTGTGCAAAGTTGAGCGTTGCCTTCAAAATCACTTTTTTTTATTATAGCCCAATTTTAAAAGTCACATATCAGAGTGCGTTTACGGTAATCAAACATAATCGAATGGATGATTTTTTGAGGTACTAGACTTTTTTTAAAAGTTACTGCTTTTCAATGTACAGGGGGTTCTTTTTTCAAAACTTTAATTTTTGTGGGGCACTTGCAATGAATATTAAAAAAAAACCTACGGATTCGTTAAGAGGATAAGTGTACCTAAAAATCTAGGGTAGAACGAACTGCACGGGGCTGTTCTGAGAGGTGATTTTTGGACTTTCTGTGAAACGTAATTTTTTTTTATATTCTTGTTAATTAGGTCATAACTAAAATTTTAAGAGCAAAATAAAAAAAATTTGACGGTTAATTTTGTTTATTAAAAATATGTATGCACACTTTCAATTCTCCAATTAAAACTTGCGATTTTATTTAAATATTATCATAACTTTTTAAATCAGATTAAAGATTAGTTAATTTCCTAAAAAAAGGTCTATACATTTTTTATATTTTTTACTGTTTTGTTGTAATACACGTTTAAAGTTTTAATTTAAGGTTAAATGTATAGTATACATTTATTAAACAATAATTCTAAGGGTGCCAAATTTTATTTAGGGCCGATTTATTCATTTTTGATTTATTTGACGAATAGTTTCTTTGGATACTAGATATTGCCAAGACATGAAAGGTATCGGCCCGATAAACTTTACTAAAGATGAATAAACCGGTCCTTAGTTAAATTTCATGAATTTCTTCGTAACTTTTACTACAATTTTTCATTTTTGTTTATAAAAAACACTTTAAAAAACTAAACAAAAATTATAGAATACGTATACTGAAAATGACAATTCAAACATCAAATAAATTTTTAATAGATCTAAGTTTCATGGCAACCTTTAAGGATATATTAGTTAAGGGAACATAAATGTATGTATACGTCAAAGGTTAGATTAAAAGTTTGAACGTTTATTGCAACAAAACAGTAAAATATATAAAAAAAATTGTAAAAACCTTTTTTTTTTAGTTATGCAAATATTAAATATTTAAATTAAATCGCTAGTTTTAATTGGATAATTGAAAGAGTGCATAATATTTTTAATAAACAGCCAATTAAAACAATTCAAACCGTCAAATTTTTTTTATTTTGCTCTTAAAATTTTAGTTATGACCTAATTAACAAGAATATAAAAAAAATTAGGTTTCACAGAAAGTCAAAAAATCACCTCTCAGAACAGCACCGTGACTGGCTCATTAAAGCCGTTTGGAAAATGAAAAAATGGGGTTTTTGAAAAAAGAACCCCCTGTACATTGAAAAGCAGTTACTTTTGAAAAAGTCTAGAACCTCAAAAAATCGTCCATTCGGTCATGTTTGATTACCGTAAGGTTTGGGATCGATTACTTTTAAAATTGAGGTATAATAAAAAAAAAGTGATTTTGAAAGCAACGCTCAACTTTGCACACTGCGCATAGCAAAAGGGCACATCATATAGGTGCGCAATGGGGTTTAAAGTGTGCCTTATTTAGTACATAATCAAAAGTATTAGAGGTCAAATTCTGAAAAAATGCACGGTTATGGCAAAAAAACTCCCCTTTCGGGGGATGAATTTAGGGGACGTGGAAAGAAATTTTTGGGGAATATTTTGATTCATATTCAGCACCCCTGACTCCACATAAAAAAAAATAAAACCCGACTACCATCGAGTTTTTCTTCTACAATCTTTGTTTTCTGGACTACTTGACTTGCGGCAAATTTCAAAAATTCATTGATCGCCGCGCGGAGATTTGTTCTCATGGCTTACGACACATTAATCGTGCTTCATCAGTAAAACTTAGTTTCAAGTTAAAGTAGTTTACCTGTTCGGGTCCTGTGAATTTTTTGCCCTCCCTGACCATGTTGGCTAGCCAGTACGTCCGCCTGTAGAGATTGAGTATGAGGCACAAGGTGGTGTCGGCCACCTCTTCGACGCCGTAGCCAGGCACGTTGCAGACCGCGATGCCTAGCTCGCCGGCCGCCTTGACGTCGATGTTGTCGACGCCGCTGCCGATGCGCACGATGATCCGGAGCGTCTTGAACTTCTCCAAGTCCTCCTTCGTCAGGATGATGGTGTGCCACATGAGCGCGCCCACCGCCTCGTTCAGCACCTTCTCGTGTATCTCGCTGGTGCTCTGCGCGTCGCAGAACGCCACCGTCGCGACGTCCTTGAGGATGGGCATCTCGATGCTGCAATCGCGCCCGTCGAGCAGCGCGACCAGCGGCCGCGACTGCATCGGTCCGTTCGAGATCGGTCCACGCGTTTCAAACCTAGGCCTTTTCGTCATCATTTTACGCTTGTCCATTTAGACGCAACAAAGCACTAACAACTACCTACTCCCTATTACCGTCGTCCTATAGGTACCTATCGTCTATTTAATTTTCTCCTTCTTTCTCCTCTTGTTGTTAAACAAACACTTGCACATGCACACGTGCACCACACTCAACCTCACTCAACAACCTCTCTATTTTATTTGTACACCACCAACACCAACCAGTCTGTTGTTGTTGCTAATCCTCGGGCCGGTGGATCTCCTCGTCCTTTTTCCCAAAGACGACGACGGTGCTACCGGACCGACTATTTTTAATTAGGTTACGCTGCGCGACTCCCAGTCAGCTCCATTGCCACTCATGAAGACGACCTAAAAACAAACAAAAACTTACAATCTTCTATTTCCATAAATACATAAATAAAATATGCAGCAATAAACAAAATGTATGTAAATGCACGTAGTTATCAATGAATCATGTAGATAATCAAAATTTTTTGCAACATAATGAAACATTGAGCCATGGGTGTGCAGCCATCGAAAATAGTAATGAATTTTGTCTTCTTTTTTGGGGGGGGGGGGATTTTTCTCAAACATTTCTTTTGTTAAAATAATGAAAACATAATATGACAAAGTTAATTGCTAATGACTCATTTTTACTACAAAAACGTAGCTATTTTTTAAAGGATAATAATAAAACTTAACAAATAATCATAATATATTTTATAAAAAAAACTTTAGGTCAAAAACAAACGCTTTTATATAAAATTACCGTTTTATGTTATCTTATTTATATTTCTCAAAATTACAAAATAGGATATACAGTGTTGGCCATAATTTTTGGAACCACTGCAGTGTAAACAAAATCTAACTCTAAAACGCCTTTATTATTCTTTATAAAATTTTGGATAAAAAATACTTTAACTTATATCTCAGTTTACGTGTTCGAGTGTTTTTCGAGAAAATATTTTTAAATCCCTTTTATTTAATAATGAAAAAACGTTCAAAAAATAACAATTAATAATAATTTTTTTTAAGTAAATAAAAAATATGCTGTTCAAGACCGTATTTTTGTTAGTATACCCTGAAAATTTTGTACAAATCAAATGAACAGCAACGAAGATACAGCGATTCAAAGTCGTCAAAAATAACCACTTTTCAGCAAAATAATAAAAAGGGGCCATTTTTACCAACTTTGAAGCGCTTTATCTTCGTTACTGTTCGTTTAATTTGTACAAAATTTTCAGGGTATACTAACAAAAATACGGTCTTTAACAGCATATTTTATAATTACTTAAAAAAAAATTACCCTAAAAGTTATTTTTCGAATGTTTTTTCATTATTAAATAAAAGGGCTTTAAAAATATTTTCTCGAAAAACCCTCGAACACGTAAACTGAGATATAAAGTGGAGGAATTTTCATCCAAAATTTCATAAAGGCGTTTTAGAGATGGATTTTTTTACAGTGGTTCCAAAAATTATGGCCAACACGGTATATCTCTGTTACAATTTAAAGCTTAAAAACGTTTTATGTATTTTTTAATATTTTTGTAATTATAAAATTTTATATGTGCGCCCCTGATTTCAACTAAAGCCAATAATAACACATAATACATATGTATATATATATTCGCTTAATCATCATGAAATGACATCACACGGATTATTACCGATATTTATCCATCGTCGACGCTCGAAATTTATGCCACGCCACCGCTGTATTGTTGTGCATTAGTGCTCGTCAATCATCGAACGTCACTAGTTCCGGCGATAGTTGCGGTCTCGGTCGAATATATCGAGATAATCCAGCCGCCCCCACAAACGGCGACGGCGGGTAATGTGCGCGACTCGAAACACGCCAATTAGGAACCGCATTAATTAATGTCCACGCCAGATACATGCATATCATTAATTCAAGTACGGTAGCCAAAACTAGATTTTTGTTAACTTTTTCTGTGTGATACGTGCTTCGCAGACCCGTGCATTCTTACATTTTTTGTAGTGACATCCAAAAGGGTCTCAGAATTTGAGGTTGGAGGTAGAGATGCGTCTTGAAAAAAACCGTCCGTTTTTTTGTTTTTTTTTTCCAGGGTTTTTTTCAACTGGAATTTGAGGTTGGAGGTAGAGATGCGTCTTGAAAAAAACGGTCCGTTTTTTGTTTTTTTCAGCTTTTTTTTTCATTGTTTTTTTTTTCAAATGGTTTTTTTCAAGATTAGTCCCATTTGCCTAATTTTTTATGTTTCCAGTCCAGTTCATGGACTAAAATTAGCCACTAAATGACATTTAGTAAATGTAAATGCAGCATCGCGCTTTGCACGCGCCACCACCACCGAATTGACCAATAAGGGCCGCGCTTGTTTTGATTTGGTCCTAAAAAAAGTAACTACCTATAATATTTTTGATTCAGCGCTTGATTTTGCAAAAAGCTACCAAAAGCACTTTTTTATGATTTTTCAAATTCATGTAGAGTATGGAATTTTTATTTTCAAAAATTTTTCTAGAACATTGGTGGTTAAGTCAGAACATTCCGTGGACCAAAAAAGAAAGCAAAAAAATTATTATTACGGTATTCGTTAGGATTGAGCGTTGCACGTTTTTTATCTAAAAATCTAAAAACTAGAAACTTCAAGCTTCAAATTGCTTTTTTTTATGGCTCCAATACGACCATTTTTAACGAAGATATAGCTATCCGAAATATCGCAAGAAATTTGGAATTTTTTTTATCCTTTAATTTTTTCTATTAGTGTAGAAGTTTTACATTGATATTGGTTTCTTATGTGGAAACTACCAAATAATAAGAAATCAGATTTTTTAGTCTCGGTCAAAATTTTCAATAATGAAAAATGTATTTTATTCTACATTTTACTTTATTATTAATATACATTTTACTCAAAATTTCATTTTGAAAAATTACTCCATTTTTTAAGATTGATGTTATTTATTGACAGAATATGCTTTATTATAGCGGATTTGAAAAAAAAACAAAAAAAATTTTTTTCTCTAGTTTTTCTTTCATGTTTTTTTTTCAAATCTGAAAAAAACCGTTTTTTACATCTCTAGTTGGAGGTCAAATTAATATTTTCTTTGATATAAATAACTTCATTATAAGATTAGCTTTTTCTACAATGGTGAATGTATCGAAAATTGTTCTTTATCAAGATTTAAAATTAAATGAGATATGTATCAACTTAGTGAGAAAAAAACAAAACAAACGCGATAATTGTCATTGCAGCCAAGCTAATAAAAAAATTAGTTAGTTTGAACTAAGTAAGGCTTTTTGTGCTAAGCTCAAGGTTTGAAGGCCGACGCGTAGCGGAGGCCTACAATTGAGCGAAGCACAAAAAGGCACTTCTTGGCCGAATGGCATACAACATTTTATCTTCAAAGCACAATATAGGTCAATTTAATTCAACATCAATGCGGCCTAACCTCACTTTTTTAGAATCTCATTTATTTATTGGCTAAAGATTACATTAAATGTACAATAATTATTATTGCTTTTAGAAGCAGTAATAGTTGGACAATACCTAGCAACATGATTTAAGTAGAAATGGATTTTTGCTATTACATTGAATTCAATTAATTGTTTAATAAATAGGTAGGTATCTAATTTCAATTTGTTTGGATTTTTATTTAAAAAATAGGTAGTTTGGAATGTTTAAGCTGTGTTTAACATTTAATTTAACTGAAAACTTAAAGCTAATTAAAACTTAAAGATAATTTAAATTGTAGAAGAAGAATCGTGCGTTTTCTTGGTTGCCTAACCTCACTTTTTGTTTTATTATTCATATTTAATTTTACAATAATTTAATGAAAAATATTAAACATTAACAGTAAAACAAACAAATTAGTGCTTATTATAAATAAATTAAACCAGTTTAGTACGTTAATTTCTTAGAAAAGGATTAATTTGTCAAAACAATACCCCTAGCGAGAAAAAATCGAACTAATTACTTGCCTCATAAAATTTTTTATCGGCCTAGGCCATAACAAGGTATTTCTTTATCGAATGTTGACAACAATAAAGTTTAAATTATAGACCGCGTGGAGATAAAATATATTATGTAACGGTTTTTGAGAGATTTGGTGACATTTATTTTTTTCCGTTGTGAATCCTGCTTTATTAAAATATCACCCTTTGTCAAAATTTGATTTAATGACTGGATGACTACTAGCTAGACAAAAATATTGGTTTGACTTAATGTACTCTAAATGTCCCAATAAATAAATAAAACAATATACATGGGTTGGGTTTTTTTGTGTACCTATGTACTAGGAATGTTACGAATTTTAAACATTTGTTTTTTGTTAAATGATTAAGAAAAAAAGAACATTTGAAGTAATAAGGATAAATATAGTTGACACAACCTAAACTAAGTATTTTTAATGCCTTTTCTGAACATTCGCACTCCCATTCGCACCTTCGCATTCCAAACATGAAGTCAATATGACGTGCGTTGCTACTTGGGTTGTTTAGGTTATAATATATTTTAATTTAAAAAAAAATCCATTAGACAAGGCTTTAATGTGAATCCGGACATCATATTCAGTTTTTTATAACTTATTTATAACTGTTTTTTATATCAATAAAAGTTGTAAATACCTTTTATTTTTCTTTATTTTGTTTGTACTATACAATTGCAGCAGACATTTTTTCAGGTACCCCATTTAAAATTATACCAGGACCCCATAATAGGCTACCTGGTAGCCTTATATGGGGTAGAAACAGAATTATTTTTTTTACATAATAATTATGTTTTATCTAGTATTATCTTGCTTGCATATTAAAAAACCAACGTTGCTAAACTAAAAAATAAACAAAACTAAGAAAAGAAAATAAATTGAAAAATTAAAATGTTACCGCATACACTGAGAAAAAATGGGACAAATAAACTGTATAGCTAATACTTTTTATTAATAGTGAATTGTTTATTACCTCTAAATAGTCGAAATAATAACGATAAATTTACTTCAGTAAAACTTTATGTGTCAGGAATAAAAATATATTTAGGATAAATAAACAATGCTTCTGTCCCATATTTAATTATTATTTTTATTTGGGAACCATAAACTTTTTTCTCAGTGTACTAGGCGACTTTCCTTTATCGCTTTTTTATGCAAAACTGGTTTTAAACTATAATTATATCTTATTAGAATTAAAGTTGTTTCTAATAAAAACAGTTATCTACACTATAAAAATATCTAAAATAAAGATATATATACAAAAATTGTTCAAACAGTTCGAGTCAAACTTATCTCACAAATAAGTTATAAGCGATATTAAAACTTTTGTGTTTTAATTTCCGCTTTTTCAACAAATCTACACAAAGTTTAACTAAGTTTTACCGCCTAACCGCCCCTATAAACTCCTC